TAGATATTTTCTTTGTTCTGACCTAAATTTTGAACAATATCTGGATGGTTTATAATATTTTCCTTTTTTATATAAAAAGAAGTCAGTATCTGAGATGATTTTACAGTGTTTAGTTATCCATCACCGATATCGTGATAAGGTGTTCTAGTGTTTCCCCATTTTCCCCATAGAATCCGCATTTACCGTTGTTTCTTAGCTTTCTTAGCTACAGAGATGTTTATTGAGGAGAGTGTGTCCTGTTAAAAAAACCTGATAATCTTGTTCTTACTTAAAACAAGGAAAATATTTGATTTTTCTCGGTCGTAAACCCACAGAAATTTCTTCGAATATCTTAGACCGTTGAGGATTCCCATTTCAGGTTACAGATGGAGTCTTCCAGGTTCGTGAGCTCTCTTTTAAGTTGGTTTCCACTTGGGGAACGGAACCGTTCTGGTCCAGTGAGTGGAATGTTTGCTTCTTTTTTAGCTAGATCGTTTGCTGTATCACTCACGGATACAAAGATCAATAAATTAGAAAAAAGTTGGGTTTTTCTGAACGCTACAACGTCAAGTTGCAAAAATCTGATTACTTCTGAAAATATTTGGAAAAAACGAATTTTCCTGATATTGTTTTATTGCTTTCTGACGTTACTTCAATACAGCTATCAAATTCGTTTAGCTTTAATAACTAGTTATCATTTTCTGTCAGTTAAAACAAAAATAATCTCAGTAGTTTGCTGAAAATGGAAACTTATCCTACATCAGAGTGAATATAGTGATTACGATTAAAGATAGTGATTACAAAACCCGACCAAGTATTCCAAGTCGACAGCATGAGAGAAATTAATGTGGCTGTTTTTCGAAGTAGAACTCCACATATACCTCTTAACACGAAAAGATCTTTTGAAAAGAAAATCATTTTATGTAGTGAACAGGAAAGGAAGTATTTTGAGTATTTGATTTCATCTAGATAAATTTTATCACATAACTATACACTTATATCTAGTTTTAATTTTCTAGCTATGTTTCTAGTATCTAGTTTTTTTCCTGATATTGTTTTATTGCTTTCTGATTCTCATTGCTAATTTTTGATTGCTTATTCCCATTTTTTCTGCTCCACAAGCTGATATTAGATTTTCAATCTGACAATAAAGATAGAGAATACGCGTATCATAAGTCAATAAATTATGTTTAAAATATAAACAGGATAGCTTAGATTTTGAAAGCAAAGGTAAAACCTTGAGGTTATTATAAACCTCAACTACTTCTTTGTGAAACCAAACAATCTGGCTGAGGATCGAACCAGTACCATCACATCTCTCGCATCGCAGATCGACACACTACTGCTTGCGCTACAGCCGGCCACCAATACTAAATAATAAAACATTCAAATATTCCATTATTGGATTATATGACTTATTATATTATGTTATAACCTGTACAAACAATTATGTTATAACCTGTACAAAAAAAGCACCAATACCTGCTCTAAAACACAATGGGAAATTGATTTTAGACCCGGTAGATCTGTGCAGCACATGGAAAAGCTATGCCCAATTATTATTTGAAGACCAAAGAGAAGACAGACAACCTCTCAATTGTGAAGACTGGTCGGGCCCGGAAATTCTTGAATCTGAAGTTCAGCATGCTATGAAAGCTATGAAAAATCGGAAAAGCCCCGGTCATGACAACGTGCATGCAGAAGTTCTTAAAATATTTGACTCAAAGCATTTCACATATCTATTCAACGGTCGAATATACGACACGGGTAAAATTCCAAACGACTGGCTAAAATCAACTTTTATAACAATTCCCAAAAAGGCATCTCCAAAAGACTGTAGTGACTACAGACTTATAAGTCTAATGAGTCATACATGCTCGTATATACTCGAAATGTGAAGAAAAAAGCGGAGAAACACAGTTCGGCTTAATCAAGGGGCTGGGTACCAGAGAGGCTTTGTTTTCAATCAAGCTACTAATCCAGAAATGTTATGATCAACGCCAAGATGTTTTTGTGTGCTTCATAGATTATCAGAAGGCTTTCGACAATGTTAAACACGATATTCTCCTAAACAGACTGCTCGAGATAGGAATAGACGCCAAAGACATTAGAATCATACAGGAACTATATTGGAACCAAACGCGGAGATAAGAGTTAACAAAAATTTATCCACAGACACCTTCAATGTGTGTCAAGGAGTCCGCCAGGGCTGTATACTGTCACCAATACTTTTTAATATATACGTCGAAAAGATATTTCAAATGGCCCTGGAAGGAGAAAGTAGAGGAATTAAGATTAACGGAGTTCCAATTAACAATATAAGATATGCAGATGATACGGCAATACTAGTACCAACTTTAGAGGATCTCCAGCAAATAATAAATAAGATAGGGGACATGGGAAATCGTTTCGGTCTTAAAATCAACGCTGCCAAGACCAAACTTATGGTAATAGGACGCCAGCCTACAATCAACACCGCATTGACCGTGGATGGAAATATTATAGAGCGAGTTTCACGATTTAAATATCTGGGTGCCATGATCAATGAACGATGGGACTGCGATGAGGAAGTTAAACTTAGAACGAATTATGCAAAGTCAACATTTTTTAAACTTAAAAACTTCCTATTAGCACGCAGTCTCCCGCTAACACTTAGACTACGGGTAGTAAAATGCTACATATGGCCTATCTTACTGTACGGCGCAGAAACCTGGTCTCTCAAGGCTAGAACCCTGAACCGCATCGAGGCTTTCGAAATGTGGACTTTCCGGAGACTTTTACGTGTGCCGTATACCATGCCACCAACGAAGAAGTTTTAAGAACTGCAGGCTATGAACGAGAAATGCTTAACATAGTTAAAGAAAGGAAAGTCTCATACCTCGGACATATCCTTAGAGGAGACAAATATTACATTCCTAAGCTGATTCTACAAGGAAAAATAGAGGGGCGGCGAGGCCCAGGAAGAAAACAACATTCCTGGCTAAGAAACATACGGGATTGGTGTAACATCAGCGACGCAGCCACCATATTTCGAAGAGCCGAAAACGGCAGTCTACACATTGTATGAAGAGTATGGACAATCGCCAACGTGCGGCTAAGCACAAGGCACAGGAAGAAGAAGAAGAATAACCTGTACAAAAGAGTCAATATGTAATATACGAGTACAATAATAATTTTTGACATAGAACAAACAGGAGAAGAAATATGTCGTTAATTTTGGAAGGACAATAACACAATAAAATATATTTCCTAGTTTATATACACTCGGGGGCCATGAAAATATACTGTGACAAATATCAGTGTCACTTTTTGTATATTACTGCCATATTGGTAAACTTATATCCCGAGATTCTATCTGGATTTTCTTTCACTATAACAATCTCGTTTATTTTTCTTGAATTTTGATACATCTGTGGTACTAGTTTTAGCCAATAATAAAGTCGTATGTATATTAAAATCAAAAAATAAATTTTCTTCTTATTTTCTTATAATTTTTGTCACATTTTGAATATTTTAAAAAATATATAAAATGCTGTAATTTCATAGCCGCTTTGATTCCTCTGCCAATATTTAAAATTTTTCGATAAAAATTATAAAAAATAATAAATCCATAATTAATTTTTGATTTTAAAATAGTTGCGTTGAAGTTGTACAATGGACACCCAAAACTGAAAAAAAAATCGCTAATTTTAAAAATGTTTTTAAATAAATAAGCAAATTTTTACAAAAATAAAAGATAAAAATACAATAAACATAAAAATATACGAATATAGCACCAACATAAATTAAATTAAATAGAAATAAAACTAAAATAAAGAAGATATGGACATTATTTATGAATGTATTATTTACATCAACAAAAAAAAACGAAATAAAAAATATAATCTAAATCAGAAAATTCATTATTAAAGTCAAATAAAAATTTTACATTTATGTTAATAAATAAACAGTTTCCTAAGTTATTTTACATAAAATATTATATCGATATACATCTTTCTATAAATGTAATATATGACGGGATATTTGTACGGTAAAGACTGGGCTATAAAAGGTTATGGATAGATTTGTTTTGAAGGGATTTATGTCAATACAGATAGCTCCCCGTGTTCGAATTTCCGTCGACATCGAGTGTAGGTATATATTGGAATAGAGAGATGACTACAAATAGAAGGTAGAACCATAAAATTGCTTTATTTTAACCGGTTACGACTGGTCTTGAGGACCAGAGAAAATATCATGAAAAAGTAGTTTTAAATTTACAAAATATAAAATAACTAGTAAAAAGTAGATTAAGTTCATAAATATATAGGAAATGTTAGTAATAAATATTTTATTAATAAGTTTGGTTAATATCCATATAAACACAATATATTGATATAATATTAGGTCAAATAACTCAACCAACAAGAAATATATATCTGCAGATAAATGTTAATTATGAATTTATTTATATTTATATATATTTTTTTTTCTCCTTTCTTGGGTATGAGGTTTTTTTTTATTAATTGAAAATGGAAACTTTTTTTTTTATTATGCGACGTTTCGCCTCATCATGGTGGGCTTTCTCAGGCACTTTATTCTTGAAGCCGCAGCCGCCTTGCTACCACCAGTCTATATAGAAGAATGAAAATTATTCACTTACATTCTTCTATATAGATTCGAGTGGTTGGACGGGTGATCGTTTGAAGACTTTGTCGTGCCGTTCTTCAATGGCAAGAGTGTAAAATCTAGTTACACACACTTCTCATTCATGCCGATTCGAGGCCGGATGAAATCGAATATCTCGTAAGAGTCGATTTAGATACTGTTTCGTTTTTTTCGTCGGTTCCGTGTGGATAGAAAGTCAAATTTATTTTACACTAAGTAACAAAACAATAACGATAAAACTATTTAAAGAACTATTTACAACTTATTTCCCGTCCAGATTATCCGTAGCAGCAAAAAGGAGGCGTCAACTTAAAAACATTAACTTAACTTTTTACATTATTTTTCTTAAAGGTTAATAAAGGTTCTTGTTTCAGTTGCTGTTGTTGCTGCTTTCTTCATTTGCTGGGCTCCGTTTCACACTCAGCGACTCGTAGCTGTGTACCTGGCCAGTGCTTCGCCAGAAACTCAAGAAAAATACTATTATCCGTACTTGTACTTGGTTTACACCAGCGGAGTACTTCATTACGTGTCCACGTGCATCAATCCTTTGCTGTACCACATCATGTCGAACAAATATCGAAATGCATTTAAGGTAAGTTCAAAACAATCTGTTATGTGTAATCATACTAATATATTTATTCTGGATCTTTTTTATTAGATATTTACGTTATATTTAGCATACCAGATTTAACTGAAATGTAAAAAATTAAAATTTTATTTTTGAAAATAATTTAATTATTGACTGATTGTAGATTATACAGGGTGGCCCGAACTGTATTCCGGAAACTTCGGCAGCATATTCTGCAGACAAAAATAAGTAAAAAAGTTCGTATAAATGTATGTCCTAAAATGCTGGGTTTTGGAGATACAGGGTGTAGAAGTTTCATTTTTATTTCGATTTTTTCCGTAAAAAGTGCCTGGTAAAAAGTGCCTGGAGGATTCCCATTCCAAGTTAATAGTTTTTGTTTAATGAAAATAAGGGTTTTATTAGCAAAAAGTGACTTTCTTTCTAACATCAGGTATCTAATTAAAATCAAATTATATTAAAGATAAATTAAATGTCACAAAGCGTAGGCAAAAAATAGTATTACGTCTCATAAAATTTAAGTATTCTCTTTAACGTGGTAAAAATGGAGTATAAATTTTAAAAGTAATTTTGAAGAATATTTTAGGAACATTTAAGGATATAAAAAAGCCACACCAAATATTTTTGACTTATATTTAATTTACTGCATTTAACTTAAATGTAAAAAATATAAAATTTGGGTTTTAAAAATAGCGTGTTTATCGATTGTTACATACAATTCCAAGAAATAACTGTATAGTTTAGTTTTTCTTTAAAAAGATTATACAGTAAAGCCTGTAAAAATTGCCATTGTTATATACAGTATGTCCTCGGACTGTCTTTACAAGAATAAAAACTTTTTTTATTGACATTTTGAAAAAAATACATTCTTCATAAAAATGTTTGCTTGTTCTAAAACGGTTAATCCCTTTTATACTTTTCCAGATTGCCATACCGTTTTAGAGAAATTTAAAGAAAACATGAAAATATAGCTAAAAGTCCTAAAAATCAAAACGCGTTTCTAATAATTTCGTTTTCATTCTTTGATAGATTTTTTATTGACATCATATTTTTTGTTGTTATAAAATGTTTAACGAATGTTAACGAAAAGTTATCAGAAAATAAAAAAGAAAACAACAGCAAAAAATATGACGTTAATTAAAATTAATAAAAACCATCTATGAAAGAATGAAATGGAAATTATATAACAATAGAAACACACTTTGATTTCTAGCACTTAGAAAAAATTCAACTATATCTTCATGTTTTTTTAATTTTCTCTAAAACGATATGGAAATTTGAAAAAGTACGGAATTAGCTATTTTAGAACAAACAAAAAATTTAATGAAGAATGTTTTTTTTCTCAAAAAGTAAATAATAAAAGAGTTTTTTTTTGCTCCTGTAAAGACAATCTGGGTACATACTGTAGAAATGACCCTTTTATGCTAAATTAATACAGAATACATATTATGAAACAGAGGTAACTATTTGATTATGCTTACACTATACTGGGTTTACTAAGTCTCTATCTGTTCTCTGCTGTATAATTGAGATTGGATCCTTTCAAGCATTTAACAAGATAGGGCTATTGACTGACGTTTGATCTCGTTAGGCAAAGCAAGCATCAATTTAACACAATCAGTAAAAATAACGATACAGCAATGTTTAAGAGAATAACTCAGACAAATAACATAAATAGACAAGCCGTACAAAACGAAGTTTTCAAGATATACAAACCAGATTTAATAGAAAAAGGCTTATTATTTATTAAAAAAATGTATTAACATTTTTAATACACAATTATTACTTTGCATATACACCTCTGGTAACTTCATCTGTGTAGTCTGTATTGTACGTAATGCATGCGATAGAGATAAATATAAATGACCGGTTGACAGACAGAGACACAAAATAAAAGACGGCATACAGTGTTGCTGGTTTTTACGTTTGTAGGAAAATGTGCGTAGAAAAAAAAATAAACTATTTTAAAAACGTTTATGTGTACTATAGTCGGTCCAACGACAAAATCCCTGACAGTGATAGATGTATCTGTCATTTTAATTTAAAAGTAGTTTATTTTATTCTACAAAGAAATAAGTTGGTACAATTTGGATATTTAAAATTTGAGTGACAAGTGATTACTTCAAAATATTGTGAAAAAAACCTTATAAGACTGAAAAACTCTAATCGAGTTATTTTATTTCCAAAAAAAATTACGGTATTTGTTAATACAAAATAAACAAGGGTGTATTTTAAACAAAACACCACATACCAAAAAAATATATAAAAAAGAACTATTTATTACTTTCAAGCTTCAAGAAACTTCTTGCATTTATTATTATAGTTATCAATATTACTAATGTACAAATAAAAAAATAATATTGCATAGGAATAAATAAAACAAAATATTTTATTGATAATAACACTTATTGAATTTTATACCTTAAAAATTGATTAACTAAATTTAATCTTAATTTTTTTAACCAGAACTTTTTGACATTATCTTTCTGCAGTACTAAAATCTATTATTTACCTATCGTGTGATGTCGTTATTTTACAGCTACTCCTGTTTTTAGTACCAAATGCGAACTTTATTGGTGCATAAAACTCTCTGTCTGGGCACAAAATATTAACTATAAATTGTGTTCTGGGTCTACAGTTCATTTTCCCTCGATTTTTCCTCCACTTAACTTCAAAAAACACAAAAATTTGCAAATGCTTATAATCTTCTAAAATGCAGGTTATTTGACATAATTTGACACAAATTTATAACCTATAATTTGGCAAAACTTTGACAAGCCTCAAAAATCTAAAGGCGAGTTCATACTAGCGATGGGAACTATCGAATGAATTAGACTATCGAATGGTTACTGAATGAATGATTTCAACTATCGAATGGTTTTATTCGAATAAAATTATTCATTCATTTGTATACTAGAGCATATCTGACAACCTCGCCGTGCGACTAAATGGTTATCGTTGAGCCACGACTATCGAATGCTTTTGATAAATGAAATTTAGTATTCGTTTGATTTTTGTGTGCGTCAGTGCATTATTAGTTCTTCCAAATTTTTATAACTTCACCTTATAAATACTGTGCTAATTTTGCAAATATTTAAAATACTAAAATAGTAGTTTTTTTCTAATTGACGATTGTGTGCGTGTGCAGGTGTCAAAATTTTTCCGAAAATTTGTGTGATTTTCCGTAGCCCGATCTTTCAATTATTCTATTTTATATGGTATATATGGTCTATTTTTTAATGGGAAATTTTGAGAAGTAGCAATTTTTAAGAGATATGAGATGAACTTAGAATTAATTTTAAAAATACATATTTGTATTTTAGATGTTTTAATAATATGAATTAGTTGAACTTAATAATCATATTTAAGTAATGTGGTTAAGTAAATGGTTATCGAACTCAAACTATGGGGTGAGAAAATTAAATTGAAAGTTTTACACGTGCCAATTTAAAAAAAAAGTTAACGATGTTTGTATTTTGTTTATGCTAATTCTCTTACATGTAGTTTTTTGCGAAGAAATATTTCATTTATTTTTTAAAGTAAATGCCAGTAAAAGTAAATATTATATTTAAATAATAATATAAAGTACCTAATATAAATAATTTTGATTTCTAATTTTTTATTTATATTTTCCTTCCATTACACTACATGCTTAGAAAATTAATAAATGTTTATATTTCATGATTTTAAAGTTTGTTGTTAATATAACAAATTAGTTCTGTAATTATTATTATTTAATAAACCAACGTTGCCAAAAAATTTAAAGACTATATTATTTTTAAATAGGATCTAATATAAATAATTTTGACATCTAATTTGTTGTTTATATTTTGCCACTACGTAAAAAAAATGTTTATATTAAATTATTTTAAATTTTGTTGTTAATAGGTATAAAACAAATTATTACTGTTATTATTATTTTTATTAAACTAGTCTTTGTTTAAAAACATTAAAAATCATTTTCCTACATCCAAAATATTTTATTATCTAACCTAACCTAACCTAACAACAGAATATTAATAAAAAAGATGCAAAATATATAGACATACTATCCCTAACTAACTAAAGCCAAACAATAATATTCTTTGCTAATATCAACTAATACCAATATATGGCAACAGCGCCCTTCATAATGTATTTTCTGTGTAAATACTAGCACTTCAATAAAAAAAATAATGTGTCCTTATCTTTATATGACTCCGCAAAAAATCAAAGATGCCGGCTTCTTTCTAGCATTGCCACCTTATTGCCACCGACCGCTGTCGGGTTTCTCGGAAAGAAACCTACGTCGCCGGGCGACAACTAAAATCCAGTTAATATTTTATTATAATCGATCCTGACGAATAAATGAATTTCATAAATGAATGAATTTTATAAATGAATGGTTTTTGCTGCCGAATTACTAGAATACAATATTTCAAGGCAGATGACGCATCTATTCGATAATTTTTATTCGAATAGTTTTCAACGAATGTTTTTTTACTAGCTATCGAATTATTCGAATGAATTGCAACTATCGAATGTTTCGATAGTATTCATTCGATAGTTCCCACTACTAGTTCATACCTATGGTTCATACACAGTATCCGTCATTCGTTCATCGTTCCGTCACTCCAATAATATTGAAATATGATCTGCCATTTTTGAAAAACAGCTAGTCTGTAACTGATATATTTTGAAAAGTGAAAGTTTTTATTCCCGCAGAGTTTTATTATGAATAAAGTTTTTCCAAAAAAATACGGAGAAAATCTTGAGCCTGAAAAATATGTTTACGAAGTAGGTAGAGGACTGTTTAGAATATTTAAATTCTGTTTTGGATTATGGGACTCCAGACAATGCTTGGCAGGAAACTTTTACGATTAGGATAAGGCTGTTTAATTACGGGGAAGTAGGCGTTAGGGTAAACATAAAAATGTTTTAGTAATCTTTTGGATTTAAAACCACTAAAATAAATACGTACATATTAAAATAGCTTTTTGCCCTTTCACAGAAACCTCCACGAATTT